TAATTGGAATTTTCTCTTACAGCTTGAGCCTAAGTGTGTCGCAGGATACCCTCTAGGTGATAGTTCTTGATTACTTTTTGATAAATAATTCGTTCGAAGCAGCAGAAAAAAGTAGAAAACTCACAGCTTGACAAAAGGGTCCGAAAAGCCGTTGTTGTCCATTGGGAGCAGATTGGCGCACCGTCTCACCACCACTAGGAGGGATCGCCTCTTTGTCGAGTAGCACAAGGAGATGAGGATCTGGCCACGCGACCACAAATCAAAGTCGAACCATTGGTTCAGCTCGGGGGCCGGCAGAGGCCCCTTTTGCTCTGGACGCAAATTTTCCAAAGGGACGGTCAACTGGAGACGAACATGTTTAGTCTGGTCATTGTGAAAGCGCAGCTCCACCTACATAAATGGTGTTCTGGACGAGTAGTTTGGCGAGTTTGATGCGCAGTTCCCCCATGTAGTCGTGCCCATACTGGTCGTCGTCCACTACAAGCACATGCAGGGACCTGCTGGCCAAATCCTCCTCACTGATGTCGTAGAATGCGAGGTTCTCATTGAACTCGGGATTTCTGCGGGAGAATCAACAGGCTTTCAATAGGAGGATCTTTTCAACTCTTTGGAACTCACCGAGTCTTGTGTACAGTCCTGGTGCGCAGTCGAGCAGTGATTTTGGGATTTGGCAGAATGTTCAGCTTGCAAAACGGATCCGACATCCCAGCAATGTCCATGGGGATGAGATTTTTGGCCCTGTAAACTGTGCAGTGCAAAATGCCCATCGCCTGGTCGTAGTTGAGCGACAGTTCGATTATCCCCATCGAAGTGTCCATCGGGGGCTTCCGATCAGATTCAGCAGCACTCTGAAGCAGTTTTTCCAAATTAGTCGCTTGAAAATCACCTTCCACATCCATTTAATCCTCCATGCGGCCAGGGGCGGATCCAGCTTTAAGGTCAGGGTGGGGTTATGTAGGAAAAATACAGTCTTCAGTTGTTTATGAAATTAGAAAAATGATCGTCGTTTTGTGCAAAGGTGGCGCAGAATTATTGCAAAATTTCATATTTTTCGTCCCGTTTTGCATCTTTCTCGGAAGCAAAATGAGCAAGAACGCTCGTTTTTCCATCGTTCCAGAGATAACTAAATGGCCTTTATTCGAAGTTTTTCAAGAACCATTCCAGCCACAGAATTCGTTTTGGCATCGTTGGATAGAGAGTTGAAAAGTCGATTCAGTCGTAACAACGTTAGTGAGTAAATTTGAGTAGTTTTGCCCCAGAAAGCGAAATTTGAATACCAAACACTTATGTTCAAGATTATGCCAAAATTTCATGTTTTCCGTCCCGTTTTTGGTCATATCTCGGAGGCAAAATGAGCAAAAACCCTCATTTGTACATCATTCTAGAGATAAATAAATGGCCTTTTTAGAAAGTGAACCATGGATGGGGAAATGTTGGCAGTTTTCTCAAAAAATGCTTG